TGAGGCAGGTTTAGGGGTTAAAATGCCGCGGCAAAACGGGAGGATCTGTCCAGTGGCAGCTCCAGCCCCAGCAGCAGAGCTGGGGTTCGGGTGGTACCAAACCGGACCCTTTGTGCTGCAGGTCCCGAGCAGGCTGTGCACTGCAGGCATGCAAGGAAATGCTGCTGGACACTGATAATTCAGCTGGAACTAAATAAACATTAATTCTGAGCGACCTGGGGCCGGGGTATGGGCTGTGGTGGAGGGGTGGTGCAGGCTCTGGGCTGGTCCAGGCAGGAGGATGGGTGGGAGCTGGGGTCTGTGCCCGGTGCTGGACTTGCTGAAACCCTGGAATTTGTCCCTTTCCTGCCATCCCACAGCTGGCTCTGTGTATGCTTACTGTGCTGGAGGGGTTTGTACCAGCGCTGCCCAGGGAGCTGCAGCCAAACCAGTGTCCCCAGCCAAGGAGCCTGGAGCACCTGGGACAGTGGGAGGTGTCCCTGCCATGGCAGGGGTGGCTCTGGGTGGGATTTGAGGTCCCTTCCCACCCAAACCTTCTGTGATTCCGTGATCTTGAGGTGCCGTGGTGGTTCAGGGATGCTGGCATTGCCAAGGCTTTGGAAGGGGCAGAGACCCTTCCATGCATGGCTGGGACTGAGTCCCTGCCCAAAGCCACCCCTGCCCAAAGCCACCCCTGCCCAAAGCCACCCCTGTCCCCAGCCCGCCCTTGCAGGGACTCCGTGTCCCCCTGCCCGTCCCCGAGCAGCCAGCAGGCGCCCAGCACTGCAGGAGTGAGCTTTGTTTGCTTTGAACACTTCACCCAAAGGAGATTCAAAATCAGCAAGTGAGCCCTGGCTCAGAGCTGGAATCGTCCTGGGGCTGGGAGCTGGAATTGTCCTGGGGCTCGGAGCTGGAATTGTCCTGGGGCTCACAGCTGGAATTGTCCTGGGGCTCAGCTGGAATTGTCCTGGGGCTCGGAGCTGGAATTGTCCTGGAGCTCACAGCTGGAATTGTCCTGGGGCTCGGAGCTGGAATTGTCCTGGGGCTCACAGCTGGAATTGTCCTGGGGCTCGGAGCTGGAATTGTCCTGGGGCTGAGAGAAACTGCAGCCAGGGAAATGAATGGAGCTCCCTGACCCTGAGGGACACGGGCACCACTGGCAGCTGTGGCTGGCACTCCTGGACATGGAGAGCCCAGCCAGGTTCTACCCCTGCTCCACACTCACCCAGGTGTGGGACTGAAACCAAACCCTGCAGAGCAGGTCCTGCCAAACCCCTGCACTTACACCAAATGTTTCCCCTCTGCACCTCACAAGATTTACTAAATTATGCTTGCCTGGGAGAAATTGGAGTGTCCAGGTGTGGGGTCTGGCAGGAATTGGAGTGTCCAGGTGTGGGGTCTGGCAGGAATTGGAGTGTCCAGGTGTGTGGATGTTACAGGAATTGGAGTGTCCAGGTGTGGGTCTGACAGGAATTGGACTGTCCAGGTGTGGGTGTGACAGGAATTGGAGTGTCCAGGTGTGTGGATGTTACAGGAATTGGAGTGTCCTGGTGTGGGGTGTGGCAGGAATTGGAGTGTCCAGGTGTATGGGCGTGGCAGGAATTGGAGTGTCCTGGTGTGGGTGTGGCAGGAATTGGAGTGTCCAGGTGTGGGTCTGGCAGGAATTGGAGTGTCCAGGTGTGTGGGTGTGGCAGGAGTTGGAGTGTCCAGGTGTGGGCCTGGCAGGAATTGGAGTGTCCAGGTGTGGGGTCTGGCAGGAATTGGAGTGTCCAGGTGTGGGCCTGGCAGGAATTGGAGTGTCCAGGTGTGTGGGCATGCAGAGGAGCACGTCCATCCCCTGACCAGCACACAAGTGCTGATCCCCCTCAGGGCTGTCAGCCCTGCTTGTCCTCCTCTTTAGCACTGGCTCTTCCTCCCAGCCATGGCACCCTTCTCCTGCCTCCTTATGGCAGAGCCCTTGGGAAACTCAAAGACAGAAAATGAACACAGATGGAAGGCCCAGAGCACTGCAGTTTCTCATCTCCACTCCCCAGCTGCAGTGTCTCTCTTATTGAGGCTTTTTTGCACATTTCCAAGAGTGTGACCTGGTAGGAGTTGGAAGCTGGTGAGTGGAGAAGTCAGATGAAAGCAGACAAAGGCATCTGTGCTGTGCCTGGAGGAGGGAGGTCCCAGCCTCCCTGAGAGAAAGACAATCACAGAACTTTATTTCTGAAGTCATTTATTTGACTGGCAGCTTTGAACGATGTTAAACACCCTCGGCTGAGCTATAAAACGAGCCCAGCAGCTGGCTTGGATCATTTACACGGCAGGGAAAGCATCTCCAGAGGCTTTGGTGGGCTCTGCCCCACTTGCAGCACCCTGGTACCTGGGGACACTTGCCGGGGTGTCCCTGGGGAGCAGGGACACTGCTGGGATGAGCTGCAATTGTCCCCTGACGTCAGAGGCCAGCAGAAAGCCCAGGAATTAACAGGTGATGTGGTCAATAGAGAATAATGAAAGGGCTGGAATCAAATTAAATGACGGCAATCAACGCGGGCTGCAGGAAGCGGCTGCTGCCAAACAAAGCTGATTCCATTTGGTGCCACTGAAAAGTTCCTTCAGCCGGGCTGTGAGCGCAGACAGAGCTGTCCCTGTCCTTGTCCTTGTCCCTGTCCCATCCCTGTCCCTGCTCCCAGCTGAGGAGCTGCACAGGGACACTCCTGGGATGATTCCGAGACCTCAGAGCTGTCAGAACCATCATAAAATCACAGAACAGCCTGGTTTGGGTTGGGATGGACCTTAAATCCCCCCCAGAGCCACCCCTGCCATGGCAGGGACACCTCCCATTGTCCCAGTGTCCAGCCTGGCCTTGGGCACTGCCAGGGATCCCGGGGCAGCTCTGGGCACGCTGTTTTTCCTGACACCTGCTGAGGATCCCAGTGCCCTGCCTGCCTCCTCCTGCTCCCCCCAGTCCCCACTGGTGCCCCCCAGCCCATCTCACCCAACTCTGCCTGCTGCTGAGCCCAGCTCCAAACCTTTCCATCCCTGAACCTGCTCTTGTGTCAAGGATTAAGAACATTTTCCATGGCTGAAAATCTAGTTTGTATTATAGAAAATGTGCATTCAGCTAATTATGGGTTAATTATACAATCAGAAACAAGTCACCTCCCTTGCAGCAATTTCTAGGTTTAGTTAAAAGGTTTGATGTTTATTTGTTTGCTTTTTCTAAACTCTGGTCCTATTCTTACCTAAAAAAACCCCAAACACTTAGAGAATCAGAATTCTGCAGTGTTAGCATAGCAGTTTGGTTTGATAAGAAAGTATGAAAAGCCACTTTTAGAAGAAATTTCCAGGTACTGCCTTTCTCCCTGGCTCTCTCACACTGTGCAGGCTCCATGATGCTGAAATTTCAGGATGCTGAAATCCCCCCAGCCCTGGGCTGCCACCAGCACCCACCTGGCTCTCTCCATGCTCAGCTGCACCTTGGGGAGCAGAAAGAAACAGCTCCTGTGCTCCAGGGCTGTGCATAAATCACCTTGGAAAGGCCAGGGGGAGATCCAGGACGGGGATTCCCAAAGGCTCCAGTCCTCTCCAGGCTCCTCTCTAACAACCTCAGTGGGGCCAGAGGGGAGCAGCCTAAATCCCACATCTCATCATCTCATC